AAATAAACGCAATCATTATAATAAATTAACATGCAGATACACCATTATACTGAAAAGTGTACGCTTGGAATATACTTTAACTACACGTCTGCATGTACTAGAGAGTAAATATATATTACCAGCATAATTCATATATTTGTGCATATTCCTACATTGCTTCCAACCGAAAAGCATTTGCTTGCATTACTTACATATACATATGTATGTATGTATGCTGTATGCACAACAAAATGCATAACCAAAACAAACGCGAAAAAAATCTCCCATACAACTTCGTTGAAATTTTTTCGCGATAAGTTTATCGCGATAAGCTATTGTGAGTGATCGCGAATGGATTACTTGCATCGTTTTTCTCATTTATGAGAGGCCAACATCGGCAATGCTCGGACTTCTCATATTCGAGTGAGAGGAAATTTCTTTGCTTTTTGCGATCGCGAATGAAAAGCAGCGGAAATTTTTTTGTCGATCGCATTCCGAATTTGAGAGATGATAAATTTCACTCGCGATAAAATAATGCAAACATAGATTTGGAATATTACCGATCATGATAAATACATGAATGAAAACGAATAATCATAAATGAGAATATCCGTACCCTGAGTTTTTCACTTCACTTCATTTTACTTCACAATTTAGATTTATCTCCACAACAATTAAAAATTTCTTTGAAATATATGATTTATTTAACCAAAATCAACAATCTTTTCTTCTTAAGTAGTAAGTGTGGCAAAGTAACTTTTTGCAAAAAGCTACTAAAAAGACGCCTAATAAATCGTCGATCTGGAAGCGGTTATTTGAAGAAGTCATTTTGATTTTCATTTTCACATTTATAGTTGTAAAGCCCACCGAAATGAATGGGTGGATATAACTGGAAAATAAGTTTTATACCCGAGCGCACTTGTGCACAAGGGTGTTATAATTTTGTTCACATAACGGTTGTTTGTAACAGCCAAAACGAATCGAGATAGATATAGACATATATATACATAAATGATCAGAATGAAAAGAGAAATCGATTAAGCGGTGACTGTCCGTCCGTCCAGCTGTCCGTCTGTCTGTCTGTGAACACGATAACTCGAGAAAAAATTGAGATATGTCAACAAAATTTGGTAAGTAGGTTTCCCTTTGTCCAAGGTAGGTTGGGATTGAAAATGGGCAGAATCGGACAATAACCACGCCCACCTCCCATATAACGGTATTTTCGAAATATGCAAAAACTACGATATTTCCGCAAATACTGGATCCAAATTGTTGAAAGTTGGTATGCGAAATAGAAATTTGGCATAAAATAAGACAGTTATGAAATTTTTGGAAAATGGGCGTGGCCCCACCCACTTATGATAAACACCACCAAACAATCGCTGAGAACATTACTTAGGGCTTGACTAAGAAATCTGTTGAAAATTTTTGAAATCCGACAAGAACCACTCCCACCTCCCATATAACGGTAATTTACAGAAATTCGAAAACTGCGATAAATAAGTAACTATTTAAGCTAATTTACTCAAAATCGATATATGCAATAACCTCTTAGCAGAAAATTATAATTAGGGAAATTTTTGGAAAATGGGCGTGGCACCGCCCACTTATGCCTACATACATATGTGTATCTCGGTAACCGGTTTATTATTTTCTACCAAACTCGGTACATTTATCAACCTAGGCGTGAAAAAGCAATATGCTGGAAATTTTTTTAATCGGACTAAAATTACTGCCACTTACCATAAACGGTACATTTCAGAAATACGAAAACTCCGATTTTTTAATAAGCTAAGACGCCAACTTACAACAATCACTTAACAAGACACAAGATGATTGATTATTTACTACGTAAGTGTATATTGATAACCGCCTTACCGATTTTCACCAAACTTTGTCCAATTATTTTAATAAATCATAGTATATTATCGAAATGTTTGGAAAAATACTCTTGCTTATCATGCAATTTACTGAAAGGTGAAAAAACGATATTTAATATGTGCGCCGGGTATATAATGTTCGGTTTCGCCCGAACTTATACTTCTTTACTTGTTTGGTAAATATTTGACGAAAATAACAATTATATTTTAGTTTTCATACATCATCAATTTTACAGAAAAATTAAACATTTAAGTGAATCTCGTGATGATGTTGTTGCTGTGTATCTGGTGATGACTTTGCTGCTGTGAATCGATAATCGATTAGTTCTATTTAAGTGTTAAAATCATCAGTGAACTGTAATTTTTGATTTTCCTCCCTCAACTAAATTTGCCCAGTAACACAATAAAGGTTAAATATTACTTTAATTGTGATACAAAAATAATCTATTAACCAATCAGGTGATAAATAACCTAATCGAAAAACCTCACACCCTTAATTGTGCTTGATAGTCGTCACTTCGATATCACTTCACTTTTCTTCCCAAGTCACTACGAAATACTTTACTTTTACCAGGCTATTCTGATGTCGGTACAACAGTCACCACGGTTACAATTGACCACTTTGGTTACAAATTCAAAATATCGGTATTCTGAATTCTTGATACCGTGACAAAAGTTACCAAAATTGTTACCTGCCAATTAGGAGGTAACAAGCTCGTTACAGCTGTTTTCATGTGTACATATTTCGAGTTGTGCGAATCAAAGAGAATTAAAATTATAAAATTAATAAAGTTTGCTTATTGAAGTCGCCAATTAAACTTTTAAGCAAAGAATGGAAGAAGCACTTTTAGTTCTTTGTGCTATGGAAATGGAGCAGGAAGAAGTGTTGGAAAGGAAACGGCTGCTCAGAAGCCTGCGGGACAGCAGTGACCCATTCTCCATGTCTGAAACAGTTTTCGTACAATATTTTCGCCTGTCTAAAGCGGTGTGTAATGAGCTTATTGAAGAGCTCATGCCATTTGATGATCAGAAGACATCGCTTCCATATGGCCTACGCTTTTTTGTTTCCCTTTATTTCTTCGCCCATGGATCATACCAAAAATGCGTTGGAAACAATTTTGTGGCTTCAATGAGCCAGCCGTCAGTGTCGCTATCACTTCAACACATATCAGCTATTATTGTTAACAGAAAACTAAACGAAGTAAATTTTCCCAAAACAAATGAAGAACAATTGACCATCAAAACGGGGTATACAGTTCAATGGAAAAGTATTTACTTGTAATTTAATACACGCCTCTATTTATAATATTTTTACAGCTTTTACGTGTCTTTCGGCGTAAAAAGTACAATAGGCGCGATCGATTGCACCCACATTGCAATTATTGCTCCTTCGTCGATTGATCCTTCAAAGCCAAGCAGCCTCTACATGAATAGAAAAGGATTTTATAGCATAAATGTGGAAGCCGTTTGGGATCAGCCAAAATTTTTAGCAGTGAACGCTAGATTTCCGGGCTCATGCCATGATTCCGGAACTTGGACAACATCGGCAGTACGCTTGTTCATGATGAGACAAAGTGGTAGCTGGCTTTTGGGAGACCAAGGATATCCTCTGGAGCCTTGGCTTCTAACTCCAATTCCAGAGCCATCCAGTACACAAGAGGAAAGGTACAATAAGTTACATGCCAAAGCTCGCAATGTAGTAGAGAGAGCTTTCGGGGTGCTAAAATCGCGATTTAGGTGCCTTTCGAAGCATCGAGCTTTGCACTACAGTCATGAAAGAGCAGTCAACATTATAAATGCGTGCGTAATTTTGCATAATATTGCATTAAAGAAATGTCCGCTTACTTTTATCGAGACTAATGAGGCCGAATTCGATACTCCATCCACACCAGCAAACGTTATTCGAAGTCAATATGAAGGTCAGATAATACGTTCTCGATACATTCAAACGCTTTAAAACGAAATTATCTACCACGGGGCATTGTTGCTTTATTAGTGAACTAGCTTACGGTACCGGACAAATGTATTTGTACAGACAATTTTTCGCAATGGTTATTATTCTAATTTCTTTTCACTAATTTTTTATAAAAATATAGTTAATACTACAACAAAAAACATAAAGATATAATCTCTAAACTTTCTGCAAAACTTAGGAAAATCCAAAATATCGCATAATCATTTCCAACTTCCTATCAGATTTTCTGGAAAAAATCTAAGTATGCAGTTTTATAGCCCATTAGATTTTAGTATAACAAAATGCAAGTTTAAAGTTGCTAATGAATCGCGTTGATTTTCTTAAAAAATTTTTGTTAACGATGTCAGTAATTTTTTCCATACGAAGTGCATACATACATATGTATGTAAATACATATCGCTCATTTATTTCAATAGCGTCATAATCCAAAAATTGCAAATACTGAGTTAAGTACCTAGAAATTGCAGCTACTTCTTCCATGTTGTGTAAAAATTTCATAGATACATATCGTCGTTTAAAGTACAAAACCGCGTAACTGACATTGGCTGCCAAAAATTGGATTTGCTCACACAAGCTCTTGGCTCAATCCTTATCCATTTGTCCTGAAATATACTAGCCAGAAGTGCGATTTCTTTATAAAAAAGAGAACCATTTTGAAATATGGGCGTTTTTACACTCTAGAAAATGATTTCTAAAACTTCACATACGCGGTTCTGCATATGATGGATTTCATCGAATTACAACTCCCACATCATTTAATGAAAAAAATAAAATAATTTATTCACGACTTTCTATTTCAGTTATATATATATATATATATATATATATTATATATGTATTATGAAAGCATAATTCAAATAAAACAGCATTTGCTTTACTTCAAAGCTATATTAGCATGACCATGTAACAAAATAATCTCGTTCAATTCGTTCATTCAAATATGTGCATATGTGTATATGTATGTGTACATATGTGCATACACACATCGATAGATATGTACATTATATAAGCATGTAGCAAATGAAATATACTTAAATAATAAAAGAAATAATAAATTCAGTATTTTTATAAGTTAAAAAACGCCAGTACAGCAAAAAAAATTTGTGTGCTTAAAGCAGGCTGAGCAAAATCAGCAATACAGCAATACAATACAATAAATGATTATATTAAGGCTTTTTCATAGCTTCAGCAAGAGCCAAATATCCTTCTCCTAGTTTAGCTAGAGCATCATTAGTTCTTGTTTGCTGCTCAAGCATACGGCCATCGTACTCTTCTCGCTTTCTAATATGTTTTAACACAACATCAACGAGTTCCTGTGATGCTCCTCTTTTGTTGTTTGTTCTGGATGGTGTTGCCTCAATGGGTGAGTTGGAAGGAGAAATATCGCTGCGAGAAAAAATATTGGTTCTGCAGAGAGGACTATTGCTGACGGGCGGACTGCAGGGTTCTTCTACCGTAACTTGCAAAGCTGAGACTTCCTCATGTTCAGTGGAGCATACAGTATCCTATAATATTAATAAATAATATAAAAAAACTTTTTAATATACAACGCTTTTATAAATGGACTAAAAAGTAGAAAATAATACTTCTCAGTCCCATAGAATTTGTTTTGATAACTTTTGATTTTGAAATTTTAGCAAAAGTCATTATAAACAATCTATGAAATTGAAAATGAAAAACGTGGAGCGCATGCAATACAAAGCATTCGATTTAATTGACAATAGTCAAACTACATAACGTTGACCTAAAATTTCTACAGCGAAAGTAGAACTTTGAAATCGATTTTAAGCGGTCGTTATTCATATACCCACATGCATACATTCATACATTACTTTTCATATCAATTCAAGTGTATTACATGCGCCCCACGCTTTTCATTTTCAATTTCATAGATTGTTTATAATGACTTTTGCTAAAATTTCAAAATCAAAAGTTATCAAAACAAATTCTATGGGACTGAGAAGTATTATTTTCTACTTTTTAGTCCATTTATAAAAGCGTTGTATATTAAAAAGTTTTTTTTATATTATTTATTTTCTACTTTTTAGTCCTGTCTGAATAAAATTTTGCAATAGATATTAAAATAATTCAACGATATTAATATAAAGGTGCACACACATGCATTTACATATGTATGTACATACAAACGAGCACCAATTAATTTTATTTAAAGAAATGGCGTGTCGTCTATTTCCGCCGATATGCGTGTATAAACCCTCCTCAAAGTCTAGCCAAAAAGCCAGCAACTCACACAACAGGTTCCCCAGAGCAATTCGCTCGAGAAAGTGGTACCCGGTACACGTAATACGCGGCACACAGCACAACAATCCGCCAAAACAGGCAACCCGGCCCAAAATTACCACCGTAGAAGGCAGAAACCCCGAGCGGCCGTGCAGGAGCCCAAGAATTACCCTTAAAACGGCCACAGGAGCTTAAAAAGACCAACTGGTCCCCAACTGGGCCGAAGGTAAGTAGTTTTGGTCTAGTCCCAAACTGGTTCCCGGACTGGTCCCCGACTGGTTACCAATTGGTCCCACGAACTAGTTACCAACTGGTCCCAAAGTGGTTACCAACTGGTCCACCTATACCTCAAGTGGTCCACAAGTCACTTCACTTACAAAGCATTCGATTTAGTTGACAATAGTCAAACTAATTTTATTTAAAGAAATGGCGTGTCGTCTATTTCCGGTGTAGCAAACGTCCCAGCAAAAAACACGATTACCACAGGAACGAAAGTAGAAACGAGCTAGGCGACGGGAATCGCTTACCCTTTCGCTTCAAGAAGGCCTTATTTTAACATGGGCATGTCATTGGAGGTAAGCCCTTACCCGCAGCATTACCTTCAAACGAAGGGAGAACGCATGGATAAACAGAATCCAGAGAAGCGAACAAAGAATGCCTTACAGAGAAACTAATGTAGACTGCCTAGATAAGTACATACTTATTTATATTAAATTTAAATCAGAAAATGTTTTAAAAGATTAAAATTAATTAAAATTTTTATAAATCAGCTTTTATACAAACATATGTATGTATGTATTTAGGTATTTGGATTTTCTTAAAAATCGGTATGTACATACATTCATTATTAATTAAGCTTAAAATTGTACTTCCTCACTCTTGTACTTCACTTCATCGACTGACTTCAACTTCGCTGCAAATTGAACAAAGCAAAACATGATTTTTATGCGAGACAAATTTCCACAGAAAGTAACGGTAGAAAAAGAACTTTTGGATATTCATTCTATTTTTCAGCTGACTACGATGCAGCATTCTACTTTGCATTCCCGGAAATGAAGCAAAGAAGCGAAACAAATAAAACATTGTAGGACATTCTACTTTGCATTCCCTGAAATGAAGCAAAGAAGCGAAACAAATAAAATGTTGGAGGACATTCTACTTTGCATTCCCTGAAATGCAGTAAAGAAGCGAAACAAATAAAATATTGTAGGACATTATACTTTGCTTTCCCGGAAATGAAGCAAAGAAACGAATTAAAAAGGAAATATTATAGGACATTCTACTTTGCACTCCCCGAAATGAAACAAAGAAGCGAAATAAATAAAATATTGTAGGACATTCTACTTTGCAATACTAGCAATGCATAAAAGAAGCGAAAAAATTCGAAGGCATTATAACGCTATGCCTTTTAGAACACGTTACCACTAAAAGCGATTACCCATTTTTTGCTGGGGTAGTACATAGGGCGACATCTAGATGTCATCTACCTCGCCCTATTCACTATGCTTTTTTATAGGAGCTTTTCAAAGCTTTGCTTTGGTGTCGGACACACAACATTGAAAGCTTCTGGATCCACAACATTGAAAGTTTCTGGAACACAACATTGCAAGTTGATAAAAGCGTTGTAAAAAAAACATTAATACTCGTATGAACGGGTGGACTGCAGGGTTCATCTACGGTAACTTGCAAAGTTGGGACTACGTCATGTGCAGTGGAGCATACAGTATCCTATATTATACAAAAAAAAATTATTACATTAATAATAATTATGAACGTTTTCATTAAAAATAGGATCTATTCTTGCCTGGAATCCCAGCTCCTGAGCAGGAATCCCATCCACTGCCATCATTCCCATGGCCTCAAGTGCTTGGCTGTCAAAATCACTCAAATCAGCAGGCTTTGGCCCGCCTCCTGTACCCATTTGGTCCGCTTTGAGCCTTCTCGCCCGAATACGCAATTGTTTTTTCCAGTTTGCCAGTGACTGCAAAAAGAAATACAAAGTAAAGCTTTTTTGCTAAATAAATGCATGTTGCTACTTACCTCCTTCCACTTAATTGGGGCACGTGTGGGCCCGTTCAGCGCATTCAAATTGTTGGCTAGTTCCTCCCACAGATCTTGCACCTGTCGTGGCTGCGCAGGCGTATTTTTTCCAGTCACCAGCTCTGGATTCTTCTTTATATATGCAATATAGCATTGCAGTTGTTCCTGCGTTGTCCGCTGAAATTTTCTGCAAGAAACACATTTAATAAATTTAGTTATTTGCATAAATGGCTAAATAAGTTAAAATACACTTACTTTTCTCGCTGTTGCGTTTCCATTTTTCGCTGTCAATTTCATTATTAACCGACTTCCAAAAAAGGAGGAGGTTATCAGTTCGTCGGAATATATATATATATTTTTTTTTTATGTATGTTACCGCATAACTTTGGACCACGTGAACCGATTTCGAAAATTCTTTTTGCATCGGAAAGGTAGTGTCTCCCATACTAATCTGGTTAAGATCCGATCAGCGGATCATGAGATATATATATATATTTTTTTTTTATATGAGAGTTGAAGTCGGTTTTTTTTTTGCTAAAAATTACTTGTTTTAGTAATCAGCTGTGAACAGTGCTGCCAATAATTTCGCTTTCACCACAAGGTGAACTTTTCCTTGTTACGAAGTTGCTGGAATACCCGGTACAAGTATTGGTTACAAAATTGTAACAAATTTAAGGTGACAAGTTATTGTAACCAAATTGTTAGAATAGACCTGTTATGTGTTTTCACTTCGCTCGAAAATTAGAAAACGGCAGCACTGATGCAGACATCTACTCGCCTCGGCACTGCGAGCGAGGCAACACACAGCAGCCTCGCTCGTTTAATAGGAGCGCGAGCAGGGTTGCCACTTTGTAAATTATTACCAAAATTGGTAGAAACAAATTGGGTTGGTAAAAAGGTAAATTTTTTCTCATTTTGGTAGATTTTTGTTGAAATTTTCGTTCTCGCTTTATTTTTCGTAGTTATCTTTATATTATAAATTTCTTTCCAAAAGTGTAGTGTACTTTATTGCATTAATTTTGGAATGCTTTTTATATTCATACGTATAAATGTATATCGATATAAGGCGAACATATCGTGCTCCATTAAAAAGTCATTTTAGTGGAATCCCGAGGAGCTTTTAACTGCATAAATATTTTAAATGATTATTGTTATAGTATTATGTAATTACGTACTATGGTTGTATGGTTGTTCGCAAAAAAAATTTAATCAACGCCATTTTTTATCAATGGCAATTGTTAAATGATAAAAACCACAAAAGATTGGCGGCAAAAAAAATACAAAAAAAAAATCAAATACCCCTTTAGCTGCACATTGATGTTTATAATCAAATAAAATTCCATACATTAATTGTTCTAAAAATTCGGAGTAAAAAGTCCGAAATTTACACGATTTTTTTTTATTTTTCTAAATGTTGTATATAGCTGGAATCCTTGATTTTTATGTGTTTGGGTAAAGCGCAAACAATATTCTCATACAAAAAAAGAAAAAACCAAACAATTTTTACTTGAAAAACATTGTGAATATTAAAAAAAATCACCAAGCGTTATTTTGAGTAACTGTATTTGTCTATAATAACTCCAGTTCCAGTTTTTTCAAATGATGAAGTTTCGTGGTTGCTTTAAGTTTCATCACTTTCGCTTTTGGTTAAAGGAAACTCAGAATATGCCGTTAATATGATCTCAAATACTGTATAACTAGTTAAATAAAAAGTTCTTTAAAAAGAATTTTAATTCTTATTGAAATAACTAAAAAAAATACAAAACTATAGTTTTTATTAAAATAACAAAAAAAATTATTGGTAGATATTTCCCAGATTTGGAGATTTTTTTTAAGTCGATGGTAAGTATTTTCTTTTCGTCAGTGGCAACCCTGAGCGCGAGCAAACAAGCGGCTTCACGATCCAGAAAATAAAGGTCGCGCCATTCCACGATCCAGGAAATAAAGTTCGCGCCATTCGTGGGCCGCTAACCCTATCTTCGTCGATTTGACAGCATCCACCCAATCGCTGACGTCATAAAATACTTTTGTTTACTGTATACTCACTGTTACCAACTTGATGCTTTTCGCACCACATTTAGTGGGTATTCAAAACGCGAAAATTTTTGAGTTTTGTGCTTGGTGCGTTTTTGGTGCTTTTGTTTTTTGTTTGAAGACATCAAATTAGAAAATCTTAAAAAAATGGAAGCAAAATTTATAGCAATCGTAAATGTGGTAAGCAATTTTACAAAAATTTAAACAAAATCATGGCACAGTGACAATCATAAGCGACCACGAAATATGTGCAGCACCTTCAATCATGCCAGAAGAAATCGACCGTTGTGCAAGAAACATTGATTTTTATTAATTTGAATCGGCATCCTTACAATAAAATTATGTATTCATATAAAGTCCATTAAATACACCAATAAAAATTTGGTTCTTTTTCAAATTCAAAACTTGGCAACACTGCCTTTTGTTCGATGCTTCGTCTTTTTCTTGTCGGGTTCGTCTTGCTCTCTCATTCTGGTATATTTTGACGTCACGGCCAGTTGCTCTCAGCTCGATTGGCGCAATCTTGTATTCTATCATTCTTGAGTTTGCTCGCTCGCTCGCTCGAACTCTGAGTTTTTGCCTACCCTGCCGGTAATGCGGAAATGCTTATTTTCATAATGAAAAATATATGAATTTTTCACTCCAATTACTAATAAGATACTATTAAACTTGATTATAAAAATAAAAAATCTGAACTAGATTTTTAAATAGAATCTTCTATAATCGAAAACCGGAAATCCAGCCGGATAAATAAAATTGAAATTGGAGTTAAACTATTGATTTAATTACTAATATTGATTAGTAGAGTTTTAAATCATATTTGTGCCTTTCGGTAATGCATATTTAAACGCATAGTGCATATTAAATTTATTTCAAATAGCCAAGTAGCCCTTCGGTTACATCTTTTGTGTTTATCTACATTTGCATGTACAGTAGTGGTATTCATCTAAACCGATAACTTTATCAAGCAGATAATCTTATAAGTTTATGCACTCTGTTACATGAACGACCCACACTCTCTTTTCGTTTACACATGCGACAATAGTCGTGTTTTCTTTGGTTATAAAGCGCAGTGTCACTAACTTTATACTACTAGCACGGGGATAAAGAAATTATAGAAACTACCTCACTAAATTGGAAAAAATTATATTTACGAGATATTTATTTAAATAAATGTACATATAACATAAAGGCTATTTATTTGAAGAAAGTTATAAGAAACAATGACAGAATGTCTGTTTGTGTATGAATTCATTTGTCGCGGCTACCATACTTTGCGAATTATCAGTGAAACAAAACAAACAGACGGGATAATAATTGAACCAGATCTCTATCAGGATCATATCGTTGTTGAATTTGCGTGCAAAATTTGTATGCGGAT